GCATTTTGGTTGCCAAACACTACTTTGAAGGGACATATGCATCTATATATTCATTGCAGCATTATTTACAATGGCCAAGATGTGGAGGCAACTTTGGTGTCTTTTAATGAATGAATGGATAAAGAAGAGGTGGTACATATATACAATGGCATATTGCTTGGCTGTGGAAGGGAATGGGTTCTTGCCATCTGTGGTGGCATGGATGGACCTGGTGGGTATTGTGTTGAGTGCTGAGTGGAGTATGTCAGACAGAGAAAGACAGATGCATTGTGACTTTGCTTATATGTGGAATCTAAAGAATAAAATGAACAAACAAACAAAATGGAAACAAACTCATAGATACAGAGAACATTTGTATGGTTGCCAGATGGGAAGCAGGTTAGGGGAGTGGGTGAAAAACAGGAAGGGGTTAAAAAGTACAATTTTTTTGTTACAATGTAGTCATGGGGATGAAGGCTATAGCATAAGGAATATAGTCAATAATATTGTAAGAACTATGTATGGTGTCATATTGGTGCTAGATTTGTTGGGTGATAGATGGGAGGGAGTTGAGGGCAGGGTGAAAAAAAAGGTGACGGGATTAAGAAGTACAAACTGGTAGTTACAAAATAGTCATGGGGATGTAAAGTAAAGCATAGGGAATACAGTCAATAATATGGTAATAACTATGTATAGTGCCAGGTGGGTACTAGACCTGTCAAGGGGATCACTTCTTAAATTATACAAGTGTATAAGCTTTTCTAACATAAGGATCAGTTTTTAAATGTCTCTATTTTCTACAGCATGTGGCATGGTACTGAGGAGTTAGAAAATGCCCATCAGCTGACCTCTAACCTAGCTAGTGGGAATAGCTTATATCTCCAAATTCCCAGGTGTGGTGTCAGAGCAGGTTTTATTTTAATTTACTGAGTATCTGTCATATGAAAAAACACTGGGGAGAAAGGTGCCACAGATGAAGGACAGAAAAAACAATAATGCCATGATCCCAAAGGTGGCATACTTTCCTCTTAGCCTCTCTCAATCTCCCTGTTTGAATTTTAACACAAGAAATAAAAGATTTCTCTGTTCCCTTTTTAGTTCAGGAATGAGTCAGCATTAAGGTTTTTGTTTATTTGTTTGTTTTGCAGAACCATCTTCCATATTCCTAAAATCGTGAGATCTTGGCAGAATACACTCAATTAAAAAACAAAACAAAATAAAGAACAACTAAAAAAGAAGGCTTCCTCTTCTATTTGCTTCCCAGACTTTTGAAATTGATCCAATGCATAATATTTAGTGGTGGTGGTTGTTTTTAAAATCCCTGGTTTATGTAAATAGGGGTAACATTCAGGGATTTTTTGGGGGGCAGAACTCTGGAATTCCCTGTGTTTTCTGGCTGCAGGCTTTTCATTTATAGCCCATGAAAATTTTGCCTCAGTGACTATGGCCTGACAGGGTAAGAATTATGCTTGCTTCGTTTTGCTCCACATTTTAAGTCCATCCTGGGTGGAATGTTATTTTCCTGTTGCAATGTGCTGGTGGTGTCACTGTAAGATATATTAAGATGAATGAGATATGGCTGTGCTTGAATCTCTAGGCTTGTCAGCTGAGGACATAAATTCTGTACGTGATTAAATGAAGTAAACAAGTTTAAGGAGGAAGCAGCTATGTCTGCATTTCTCTAAATACCCTAAAGCAAACACCATGGATTTTACAAGGTAAAATCTG